ACATGCACCAAAACCCATGAGTTGCGCCGCTGCAAAACCCAGAGTTGTTGGGGGCGCCGCGGGGTTGGGGCGAGAGCTCGCGCGCGTGCATGAGTGCCAGGGCGTGAGACGTGGCGCTGAGGCCCACTGCTAGAGCCCTAAGCTGGCCGCAGGCCTCGCGCGTCCGCGGCGTGGGCAGGACCCTCCATGTTCTTCGGTCTCGGTGTCAATGCGTCGCCTCCAGCAGCCGCGCGCTCGTGGATGACGGCGGCGCGGAGACGCACACCCTCGCATGTTCTTGTTTTGGGGCAACAGCAGCCTGGAGCTGGGCCTAGGGTGGCGGGGGCCAGGCCGCGCGGCCGCGGCCTTGAGTCTGGGGCGAGCAGGCGAGGTCGCGCGAGGCTCCCTGGGGCGCCGCGGGGTTGGGGCGAGAGCTCGCGCGCGTGCATGAGTGCCAGGGCGTGAGACGTGGCGCTGAGGCCCACTGCTAGAGCCCGACTAAGCTGGTCGCAGGCCTCGCGCGTCCGCGGCGCGGGCAAGACCCTCCATGTTCTTCGGTCTCGATGTCAACGTGCTGCCTCCAGCAACCGCGCGCTCGTGGATGACGACGGACGCGCGGAGGCAGATCCAGGGCACAGGAACGCAGCGTGGGTCTCGGGGGGCGGGGGGGGGTCAGGGCTTCGGGGTTGCGTGGTCCAGGCTGTGCAGTCGAAGGCTTTAGGCTGGGGGCGCAACCATATGCGTACTTACGCACGTTGGCTCGGAAGTGAAGGTCGGGGACACCTCGGAAGGGCGTCCTCGACGTCCTTCTGGTTTGGGGTACCTTGGCCCGCGGAGGGTCTCATGTTCTTGTCCGATGTTATTGTGGCCTTGTTCCGGCCGTATTCGTTTTGAATAAGGGACTGTGGTCTCCACCTTCCTTCCTCCCGCCTCCCTCCCTCCTCCTGCGTTTTGCTTCCTACTTTATTCCCAACCCTCCTTGGTTGGGTATTCGTTGGTCCGCTCGATGGTACCAGGAAACGATGTTCTGCGAAGACACAGGAAGAAAAAAAACGGAGACATGTATATGTTGCATATAAATACGTTATGATATAAGCTGTGATATTTCATACCATGACACATTCAGACACAACATGAAACTGTATGTTTATATAATCAGGGAAATATGCAGCCCGGAAGCGCGCGCAGGGGAAAGGGCACTGCAAGCATATATTGGGGCCCGTGGCGGCCCACTAGTTTTCGAGCGGCCGAGGCCACACCACGATAGGGGGTAGTGACTTCCAAAGCTTGGGGTCATTACACCTTGTCAACTGCAGACTTCGGCCGCTCGAAAACACGGGCTGCGCCTGGGTCGCAATTCTCTGTGCTTGCGCCCTCCTTTCCCTCCTTTTTCCTTGCCTCCTCCCCTTTTTCCTCCTCCTCCTCCGCGTCCTCCTCTTCCTCCTCCTCCTCCTCCTCCTCCTTCTCTTGTTTCTGGCCTCCCCAGGGCCTGCCCCAGGGGCCGAGGCATCCAGAGACGTCCGGCGACTTCCGGAGGTCGTCTTCGTCGTTGCCGTCGCCGTCGTCGTCGTCGCCGTTCAGTCGACCGAGGTTCAAGGATCGAGGCTCGAGGATCGAGATCGGAGGATCGAGGTTCGAGGATCGCGGTTTTGGGGTGCATTCGGTCCTGGCGGCGAGAAAAGGCAGGCCTTGGAGCTAGAGCAGGGCGAGCGACGCTGGAGACCCACTGGGTCGAGTCTGGTGAGAGGACTTGCGCTGCCTCCTGGGTATGCTCTCGATCCAGTCTCGTCCTATTGGGTCTTCGGCGTTCCCTTCGCTAGCCCTGTTCGTGCTCCCGGTTGCTTTTCGCGCTGCTCCGTTCCCTTGGCGTCCCCCCCCGCTCCCCCCTCGTAGATTTCGCTGTCTGGGCCCTGTCAGGGCCCCCCTTGGGGACAACTGGCGCCTCGCGAAGCTTCCGGCGATCTACGGGGGCGTCTTCGTCGCCGCCGCCGCCGTCGCCGCTGTCGCCGTCGCCGCCGACCGAGGTTCAAGGATCGGGGCTCGAGGATCGAGTTTTGGGGATCGAGTTTCGAGGGTCGAGGTTTTGAGTTGCATTTGGCGTTTGCTTTTCGTGCTGCTCGATTCCTTCCGTGCCCCTCGCCCCCCATTCGCCCCCCTCGTAGACTGCGGGCGGAGGCAAAAGCAGGCGCGGAAATGAACCCTGAAATTCTTGACGCTTCGCGTATCCCCACCAGCCCATCCAGAAACGACGCCCAGACGAGATGAGGCGATGAGGGAAGTGTGGGAGCAAGAAGGGGACAGCCGAACCGAGCGAACGAGGGATGGGGAGAAGGAGGAGGCTGGATGGATGGATGGATGGATGGATGAGGGCGTGGGGAACTGGATGATGAATAGGAGGAGGAAGAGGAGGAGGATGAGGAGGAGGAGGATGAGGAGGAGGAAGAGGAGGAGGAGGAGGAGGAGGAGGAGGAGAGGAGGAGGAGGAGGAAGAGGAGGGAAAGGAGGCGGAGGAGGAGGTGGAGGGAGGAGGAGGAGGAGGAAGGGAGGAGGAGGAGGAGGAGGAGGAGGGAGGAGGAGGAGGAAGAGGATGGGGAGGGGGAGGAGGAGGAGGAACAGGCGGAGGAGGAGGAGGAGGAGGAGGAGGAGGAGGAGGAGGAGGAGGAGGTGGAGGAGAAGAAGGAGGAAGACGAGGACCAGCATAATAGCCAGAAACATAATGAATGCCTCTCGGATGTCTCTTGGAAGCCTTTGGAGGCCTCTTGGGGCGTCTTGGGGGTTTCTTGGCGGTCCAGGGAGGCTCTTGGGCGTCTTGGGGGCCTCGGGGGGGCCTCTTGGGGCCGCTTGGGGTCCTCTTGGGGGGCTCTTGGGTTGATGCGCTCTGATGAGCCACGATCCGCCTGTATCTGTAGGGGCCGCCAAAAAAAAAGAAAAAAAGAAGAATATTATTAATAATAATAATAATAATAATACTAATAATAATAATAATAATAATAATAATGATATTTAGTATAATAACGTATGCGATAATAATATATTCCATGTGAAAATATGGCAATAACAAATATTATAGTGCTCTCGTCGATTGGACTCTCGCCGAGCCTTTTTGGACTTATCTTGGGGCTCTGAGGGGCTCTCTTGGAGGCCTCTTTGGGCCTGTTTTAGGCCTCTCCGAAGAGCTCGGAAGATCTCGCAGGGTTCTCTCGTGGGTTTCATTTTTTCAATATGTTGAAGGGGAAAACGCTGTCGAATTTGGAAACTTGGGTTTTCTGTACATGTTGATAATTCTTGGGGGTTCGTCGTTTCGTTTGACTTCGGGGAGGGGCGGGAGGACGTGAACACAAATATGGCCGAACCCCTTCCCCCCCGCAGGGAAGTGAGGAGATCTCCCCGGCAGTTTTACGGCTGTGGGTTCCGTTTGTGGAAGGGGGCCGTCTGTCATATCGCCGCATCCCCCGTATTGTGTAGAGGATGAGGTACAAGAGGAGGAGGAGGAGAGTGAGGACGGGCCCGGGGGAGGAGTAATTTAGATGATGAAGGAGAAGAGAGCTGAGAGGGGGATTGAAAATAGTGAGCAAATCGGGGGGGTCGCGTGCCTTTAAAATTCGTGTTCTCGAAGGGGGAAACGCTCGCAAAAGTTTCGAACATCGTTTTTGGTAGATTCTGGAGATTGACGCTGGGGACCACATGTGTTTGGCAGAGTTTAGAGTCTCCGTGCTGCGCTGCACAACAGAGGGTTCTGCCAGGACGTCGCCACTGAAATGCACGCTCGCGCGCACCACGCCGCAGGCACACCACGGGGACACCTCCAGCACACCGGGCACAAAATCGCACCGACGCGCATAAACACGTGGAGCCACTTATGTGATTTGTATGAGACGTCTGCATGCTTTTGGCGTGTTGGCGGTGCTCGTTTCGCAGGTTAGCGCGGGGGAATTTGTTTTCACTCCCTTTAATGAAAACAACGGTTTCCCCCCAAGCCAGCCTGCAAACGAAGCCCCGCCAGCACACCTCAAAACATGCACACGTGTAGCATAAATTACGCAAGTGCTTTCACGTGTTCATGCGTGTCGCTGCGGTTTTGTGGCCTGTGTGCTGGTGGTGTGCCCGCGGTGTGCGTGCGGTGCGGTTTCCCATGACTTTTCCCGTGCCCGCGATGATCGTTGCCCTACGATTTTTCATGACTGTTCTCATGAAAACACAGGAGCTGCAATCCAAGAAATCGTTTCCGCTCTGGCCGAGGAGTGGTTTTCGGACGCCCCCGGAGGCCCATAAGCCGAGGTTCGGTTTACGCTTTTCGCTCTCGCCCCCTCGCAGCCTGGGCTTGTCGGGACATCGTTTCAAAGGGTTCAGAGGCCACGAGGAGCCTCAGACACACCCGTCGCCTGGTACGTGTCGTCTGTCCCGTGTGCCCAGGGAGGGCCCCGGACCCAACGCGGGCACACGACGGGCACACCGTTAACATTTACACGATTTTTGTGACCTGGCCCTTTCTGCTGCGAACCGCTGGTCAGAAAGTAGCGCTCTCCTGGTAGAATTGCACCTCCCGAGCATTGTGGAAAGCAGCCGTGCCAAAAAGTGGGGGAGGAATCGCTTCGCATTTTCCTTAAAGAAAGCGGACGAGATTCCTCCTGCGCTTTCTCCCTTGTGCACCGCCTTCCCAGCTTCTGAAGGCTCCAAAACGCAGGACGTTGACAGCATCTCGTGCTGCCCCGATTGCGGGCCGAATGTGATAGTGCCAGATGCAACGGTTTCTTTCGTGGTGTGCCCGAGCCCGGGCGCTCCAAAGGCAACAAACGCATCGTCCCACCAGGCATGCGGAGCGCGCTGGGCACACCAGATGACCAACGCACACAAGGCACACGGGGCACATCAGGCACACCAAACGCATCAGGCACACCAGGCACACGAGGCAGAGCAGGCACACCAAAAACACACTGTTCGGCCAATTGTTCGTGGCCCAAGCTGAGGTAAATGTTCCCTGTGGGTACCCTCCGTAACCATATTGGCTCAAGCTGAGGTGAATGATCCCTCCTGGCCAGTTGCGCGTGGGTATCCTCGGCTTCGGCCCTGAAGGCAGCGACGATAGTTCTGGAGAGAGTGTCGCAGATGGGCAGGGGGGCGAGCGGCCATTACCCATCCAGCTGGTCGCCCATGGATTGATGCGCTCTGATGAGCCACGATCGGCTTGTATCTGTAGGAGCCGCCAAACAAAACAATTAATACATGTAGCGTGTATAACTACAGTATACCATTTATATAATATAATGTAGTATCTCGTTCTTTATTCTAATATATAATTTATTATCATATTATTCTATATTGTATGATTAAATAATACTAGCATGTAAGATGTAAACACTATATGGCTCTCGTCGAGCCCTCTTTGTGTCTCGCCGAACCCTCTAGGACTTATTTTTGGGATTTCAAGGGCCCTCTTTGAGGCCTTTTGGGGCCCCTCCTAGGCCTCCCCGAGCAGCTCGGAAGATCTCGCAGGGTTCTCTCGTTTTTTTTCTTTTCTTTTTTTGTTTCAATATGTTCAAGGGGAAACGCTGGCGAATTTGGAAAACTTTTGGGGGGTCTCTGTGGTTCTCTGTCCGCTCAGTGGCAGGGTTCTGCAGGGTTCTCTGGGGGGTTCGCCAGTGCGCTCAAGGGGGAAATGTTGTCGAATCTGATAATTTGGGTTTCTAAACGCTTAGGGTCCTGCAGGGTTCCCTGGGGGTTTTCTTTTAGTCAGTGCGTTGAAAGGGGGAAATGCTGTCGAATTTGGCCATTTTGGTTTTCTAAACACTTTGATCATACTGGTGGGTTCTATGTGGTTTTCTGTCCACTCACTGGCAGGGCCCTCCAGGGTTCTCTGGGGGATTTTCCTTTTATTCAATATGTTGAAGGGGGAAATGCTGTCGAATTTGAACATTTTGGTTTTCTAAACACGTTTGATCATACTTGTGGGTTATCTGTGGTTCTCTGTCCACTCAGTGGAAGGGCCCTGCAGGGTTCTCTGGGGGATTCTCCTTTTATTCAATATGTTGAAGGGGGAAATGTTGTAGAATTTGAACATTTTGGTTTTCGACATACTTTTGAACATTCTTGTGGGTTCTCTGCGGTTCTTTGTCCACTCAGTGGCAGGGTCCTGCAGGGTTCTCTGGGGGATTCTCCTTTTATTCAAACTGTTGAAAGGGGGAAATGCTGTCGAATGTGAACATTTTGGTTTTCTACATACTTTTGAACATTCTTGTGGGTTCTCTGTGGTTCTCTGTCCACTCAGTGGCAGGGCCCTGCAGGGTTCTCTGGGGGATCCTCTTTTTATTCAAACTGTTGAAAGGGGAAGTGCTGTCGAATTTGAACATTCCCCAATCAGAGCTTGCTTCTGCAGGGGTCCTAGCGGATATTAAGCTGAGGTGAGGTCGGCGGCCGATTTCGGTGGCCGGGGCCGGGTGCCCGGGTGCTCGGGGGTGCCCGGGTGGCCGATTTCGGCGGCCGTGCCCGGGTGCCCGGGTGCCCGGGGGTGCCCAATAGCCCAGTAGCCTTATAGCCTTATAGCCCTATAGCCGTATAGCCCTATAGCCCTGTAGCCCTATAGCCTTGTATCCCTATAGCCCTAATAGCCTTATATCCCTATAGCCCATATAGCTCTATAGCCCTATGGGCCTATGGGTCACAGTCCTGTAGCCCTATAGCCCGATAGCCCTATAGCCTATAGCCCGATAGCCGTATAGCCCTATAGCCCTATAGCCCTATAGCCCTCTCAAAAATCTGTTTGGGCTTGTTCTCTGGTATCATTTTGGTTTTCTAAGCAGTTTTGATCAATGTCGTGGGATCTCCCAGGGGTTCTGTGTCTCCCGGAGGTTCTCTGTGGTTCTCTGCCTCCGTGGCAGGGTTTTGCGATTTGCTGTTCTCGGGTTTTGTCACTTCGGGTCGTGCTTGGGCGTGGAACTCTCGAGTGGCGGGCGCGGCCCGTTGCCATCCGAACGGAGTTCGAAATCGATCTTGATTGTGTGATTGGGCAAGCCGTAGGGCATTTCGGCAACTCGGCAGTGTACGGAAACGTCGGTTGCCGGATTTCTAAGGTTTGGTTTCGCATGTCCCATGCCGGGGCCCGTGGTTGAGGCAGGTCGGTTCCCCGTGAAAGCGTAGGACATCTCGATAAATTTGCGGTGATCGAATCACGGGTCGGTTGATGTTTTTTGGCGCGGCGACCCACGTAATGCAGCTGCATCCTTATTAATAAGGACAGAATGTTTTATTCCAGCAGGTTTGGGCAACAATCATCGAAGTGCGCGGCCGTGGTGTTTGAAATCACATGTGACGTCACGGCATTTTTTTATTAGTTTCATTACAAGTGCAAGCGGGTGAGGGATGAACGCGCGCGGTTATGACCAGCCCGGCTCGTCGACCTACGTTTCCGTACGCGCTCTACTCTTGTGTCGGCATTCTTCTTGCAAGCAGTAAGGAGGATGAGCGGAGAACTGACCATCCTGAAGCCTTACTGAAACCCTCTTGGGGCCCTCTTGGACCCTTCTGGGGGCCCCCAAAAAGGTTCCCAGGCTCGCCGATCCCGAAAGGTATCTGGGTAGGAGAATGCGAAGCCGCGTGAGAAACGTCGGACGTTTTGATCGGGGGTCGGGCCAGGCGGCCTGGGCCTTTTGCCGCCGCAGCCTGAGGGCTCAAGGCGGGGCATGCATGTCCCGCCGCACCGCCGCGGCGGCCTGGCGGGACGATAGCCCGCTCGCAGAGGCGCCGCGATCTCTTTCCGCCCGCCCCCCGCCCCCTTCGCACGCTCTCGCGTTCCCCCCCGGCAGTCCTTCATATCGCGTGCCCTCCACTTCTGCTCATCCTCCAGCTCGCCCTCTTCCTCTTCTTCTTCCTTTCTGTTCCTCCTCGTCGGCCCCCCTAGGCCCGCCCCCCCCCCCGTGCGTCGCACGCCATCTCTTTGTCTTTGCTCGGCGACGCTCCCCCGCTCAGACCCGCCCGCCGCGCCCTCCACAATCCGCGCTGTTTTACTTCTCCTCGTTTTTGTGCTTCGCCACCCACTCCTGCCTGCTGGCCCCCACCCCAATCACTGCCTAATTCTCTTCGCCCTGCTGACCTCTCACTTGCCTGTCCAGCCCCTCTCGGCCAGCCCGGCAGGCCAGCGACGGCGATGGCCCGGGCAGCGTCGGCGAGGGCGTAGACATCGACGCCCTCGACGAGGGCGACGCTGGTGACCTGGTCGACGACGACGCCTCCCTGGACATCGACGCGTTGTCCGAAGGCCAGCCGCGACCGCGGTGCGCGGCTTCCGCCCGCCGTGGTGTCCGAGCCGCTGGGGTCTCATCGTCGGCGTCGTTTCCTTCAGGGTCGAGGGTCCTCAGTCGGCTTGGGCATAACTTGCGCCGGGCAGCGGCTCGGGCGGCAGCAACATCTCAGAGGGGCCTGGGCGCCTTGAACTCGTTGGTCCAGAGCTCGAACTCGAAAGTGCATCGATACGGTGAACTCGCGACAGCCCCCGCCGATCCGAATGCCAAGTCGGTGTCTCGGACTGGTCGCGGCGACGGGCAGTTCCACCCGAACGCTTGGACGCCGCAGGGTTGTCTGCGGTCGGGGCCCCGGATGCGATCACTTCGAGTTCCGAGGGTTCGATGTCCGAGTTTCGAATTGAGGTGGGCGCTATTCGTGCGACTGATCGGTCGGGCGATCGTAGCCAACCTTCCCCTTCCCCCTTCCAGCTCCCATCCCCTTGCCCCCCGAAGGCCAATCCCGGAGGACAGGGGATGAGGCGATGAGACGGAGGGCCGGGTGTGTCGGGGGAGAGAAGGAGGGGGAATCCAGCGATCGGCCAGCGATGGCAGAGCAGGCGGCCACCCCCGACCCTCCTCCCCTCCCCATCCCTCTCCGGCTCCTCCTCTTCCACTCCCCCCGTCCCCGACGCCCTTCCTGCCCTCGCTTCGCCCCGTCCTTTTTCCTGCGCATCCTCCTCCGCTGCTTCCTCTTTGAGTAGGTGGGCCGGCGGATTCTTTCCTTGATAAATATCGAGGTTGAGGTGGGCCGGCGGATGAAAAATTTGAGGATGTCTCAGGCGAAACGCTTGTTTTTGAAATCCCGATCGATAAATCACAGGGCGCGGGCCACACCCCAGCACGACCACGCCCCAGCACGACCGCGCCCCAGCACGACCGCGCCCCGGCGCGACCCCACCCCAGCACGACCAAACCCCAGCGCGACCGCGCCCCAGCACTACCCCACCCGAGCACGACCCCACCCCAGCAAAACCATCATCGCCCAGCACGACCGCGCTCCAGCACGACCTCACCGCAGCACGACCACACCCCAGCACGACCACGCCCCAGCACGACCACGCCTCAGCACGACCACCCCCCAGCGCGACTACCCCCCCCAGCACGGCCGCCCCCCAGCGCGACCACCCCCCAGCACGACCGCGCCCCAGCACGACCACTCCCCAGCACGACCGCACCGCCTTGGTTGAGTGGTTGCCTGTCGTCGCGGAATGTTTCGCGGGGTGTCTCGTGGACTGTTTCGCGTGGTGTCTCGTGGAATGTTTCCAGGGAAACGTTGGAAGCGGTCGCCCGTGTCTCGTGGAATGTTTCGCGGGGTGTCTCGTGGAAGCGCCCGTCGCCCAATGCGGTGTCGTGAAAACGTTGCCTTACATGTGGTTCTATATCCTTTTCCGGGTTCGTGGGCTCATGTTGATTGCCGCTGAGCCAAGCTAAGGTGGGCATTCGGCAGACTGGGGTCCACTGTGACGGATCGCCAGCGCCAGACCCACCGAGTCATGGACGCCGCGGCGATCGTCACGTATGCGCACGAGCGCTTCGTGGAGGAACGTCTCCGGGCAGTGCCGCTTGCGTTCGAGACCCGGGCGCGCCGTGACGGTTGGGTATGGTATTCGTTCGATTGGGATTGCACGCCCATGAGTTTGCGTTTCGGCATCTTGGCAGATAAGCTTCGTCGCGTCGCAAAGTACTGGTGGAAAGGCCGCAAGAATGACCCTTCGGGCCCGTTCCAACAGTTGAGCTACCAGGAGTGGGTCGAGAAAGGAATGGCACGAAATCCTACCTTCGGAACTCTCCAAGTCTTGGCCCGAGATTTGAACGTCACGTGGTGTCACGTAGG